AATCACCAAATATTCATGAACTAACAAAAAACTTTTTCATAAGTAACAGTTTTCTTTTTTTCATGTTAAGGTGTTGAGTCATTGAGGCTGACGACCACAATATCAGAAGATAAATGACTAAAATAAAGGAAAAGAATGGAGCAACTTGCCTGTCTCTGCGGTCCTGTTGTCCAAAAGACTTCAGTGATGTCACTTCCTGATGTATACAGAATTCTGGATCACACCATTGTATTTATGGGGGTGGGATCATTCATGTACGGGGTTGAAGGGTTAGTCAGGTACAGGAATAATTGTGGTTTTACTGAATAATTAACAATTAAAGTTGAAAAAAATAAATATTAACAGCAAAAGAGCACAAATAGATGTTTAGGTTGATACCAAAATTTATTGACTTTTTAAATAGTTTTATTTGGTATTTTCAAAGTAAACTTTCATCAAGGCCATGAGGGACATGACAAAATAGGTGGTGTCAAATGAAAAAACTGTATTATTTCCCATAAAAAGATCAAAATTAGTTCAGTTTTTTTTACACTGTATTAAAGGGTACATTTCAATATATATGTAAAGCTGTTTAAATAGAAAGTTTGGTGACCCAATAGATGAAATACACCATAAGAGGTGAGAGGGACTCAAATTGTGCCATTTTCATGGAATGACTCTTATAGTGTTGCTAATTATTTGGCATTATTGCAGGCAAACCAGCCTATGAAATGGATGAAACACACCGTGACTGGGTTCCAGCACTACACAAGCTCCTTAGACCAAGCTGATTCATTGTTTTTCATGCAGCTCTAATTTGATAAAACGCTGCATCAAAAACAAAGAGGAAGTGATGTCAGATCTGTTTATGTCCACACAATTAGAAGAATAATTTGGACATGTGTGAAGAACTCTAACCAAGAGAGCAAACCAAAACAAGAAAGCAATGTCAAACAGATCCTTCCAACAGACAATTTCCATGACTGGAACTGTTCAATCTAAAAATCCTACATTTGTATGGGTCACAAGCACATCAGCACATCATTATTTGAATCCCTTTAAATGTGTTGTTTGATTGAATAAGTCATATTAAATAGTGATTTAGATCAATGATATAACACTTTAGTGTTGTTAGCTTCATTGGAAACTTGCACACAGCTGTGAATGTGGGAGTGAATGTGAGTGTGAATGGTTGTCTGTCTCTGTGTGTCAGCCCTGCGACAGACTGGCCACCTGTCCAGGGTGGACCCCGCCTCTCGCCCTAACACAGCCTGGATAGGCTCCACCCCCCACGACCCTGATAAGGATAAGCAGAAGTGACTGGATGGATGGATATAACAAGGTTATAAGAAACATGGAACATGACAAGGTGCTGTAGTCCAGTCTATGTTGTGTGTTCTCCCTGTGCCAAAAACCCACTACAGTATAAAACTATGTCAAGCAGTGTGAATGAGCATATTTAATGTGTGGAGGATATGATCATGAGAATAATATTAATGCCACTTAAATCCTACACCCAAGCTTCTTGTGGCACTTGCAGAGGTAGAAATGTTGGATGATGGGGGGCTTCAGTTGGTGGAGCTGAGCCCTGTTGACCCCTGGATGGCTGATCCTCGAGAGCCTCTGGAGCTCCAGGAAGGAGAAGTGAAAGGACCTGTTTTGATTTTACACTTTAAATAACAAATATTTAAGCACAGTTTTCAGACAATACTGTGGATTGTGTTACTCTTAAAGAACTGTGATCTCAAACTTCAATTAGCTAGCTAATAATAATAATAATCTCACATTTTCTCCATACTGAATGAACTAAGAGTGAAAAGTCCATTAGTGGTCCCCCAAATGTAAATGTTCTTTGAGCTTCCTGTCAGGTGACATGCTTCAGCCACGTCTGCATGGAGCTACAGCTTGGTGAGAGAAGGTTCATGTTCGACCCCTGGTTGAAGGGTCCCGCGTTTGCCAGGGGTTTGTGACTTGAGCCTCCAGCAGACACACTTTGTGCTGCAGATCTCATCACTCAGACCACCTCAGGCAAGCTCTGCTAATGTTGTTAAATACAGCAGTTCCTCGTTAATCGCAGGAGTTACGTTCTAAAAATAACCCGCGATAGGTGAAATCTGCGAAGTAGCCAGCTTTATTTTTTACAATTATTACAGATGTTTGAAGGCTGTAAAATCCCTCACTACACACTTTATACACTTTTCTCAGACAGACATGAACGTTTTCACACTTTTCTCTCTTGTTTAAACACAAAGTTCAAACCTTGGTAGAAAAATAAGTCCAGTATTATAGAATGAAACCAACTTCAGAGTCACACTGCTGGGGATCGAAGATTTATGTACATTTGACAAGCTGAACACATTCTGTACTGGACAGGAGAAAAGAAATCCACGAAAGGTAAGTGCGTTAAAGTGAGGGACCACTGTATACATAAAAATATACATTACATATTACTGCTGATTTTATTTGAAGCAGCTCAGTGACTGAGAGCAAACACAGCACAGTGTCTACAGACTGTTCTTGCTTCAGCTGTTCATCTGGATCACACAGTATTTGATTGATTTCTTATGGCTCACATACATTCCAATATTTAAACCATGACCAGCTGCAATCAACATCAACAAAGGAAAAGACCCCATGCTGCACACAGTCACAGTAAAGACAAGCTATAACATTCTTAAATTAAAGGCTGGAAAACAACTTTTACATCCTTTCATTATGAATCAATTGTAATTAATTATAAATCACTACAAAGTCATGTAGAGCACTCTGCATTTGTGCCCCAGTCAATACTTACAGTCTACTTACCATATAAGATGGACAAAAAGTTTTTCCACCAAAAATTACTGACACTGTACTTCAAACTATTTACACACGAGTGAAATTGACTTAAAGAATAATTATGTTTAGTTTCATGTAAATATTTAACTTGGTATTCCCTTATTCCATTGGAGCCAAATTTAATCACAAACCATATGTCATGGTCCGGGTGAGTACGGCGTTTTTCCACTCCGCTGGGCTCCACCTTCAGGCAGAGACTCCAATCACCTTCCACACCTGGTTCCAATCAAGTCACAGCATATAAGACCAGCATTCACAACAGACCTCTGCCAGATCCTCTGCTAACTCACGTTAGTGCTAGGCCGCCAAGCCCTTGTGAGAGCCCTTAATTACTGCTTTTCTCCTCACCGTGTTTTCTTTGTCATAGGACACACCTGGCAGTCACACTTCCCAAGCTAAACTACTCACATGTCTGCCCGGACGCTGGTTCTGTCATCTGGTTGCTTCCTTTCAATCATTGGACTACACCTGCCTGCCTCCCTGCCAAGTCCCTCACTCCAAGTATATTCTGGATCCTCTCTGGACACTCCTCACCCGGAACCCCTTGGACACCCCCTCCTCGCATGACACTTTAACCTGCAACGCGTAAGCCCTAACCACCATAGTCTAATCCTTCAGCTGTGATTCACTAGACTGCCACTGACTACTTGTCTCCTCTCATTATAGTGACTGCGTACCTCCATCCAAGCCGCTGCCCCTTTTTCCATTCCCAGGATCCATCCATGAAATCTAGCACCTAATCATAGCACTCAGAGTTTCATGTTCATAGTTTGGCCTCACAGTTCTCAGTTCATAGCTTCCACAGTTCATAGCATTCTCCGTTCATAGCATTCATAGTTTCCTGCTTTGTAAGTTAACTAGGCACTGTAAATAAAGCACTGTGTTCACACCCGTTTTGCCTCCCTCTGTGTCTGCATTTGAGTCCACACCCACAGCCTGGCCCTCTCGGCCCTAACACCATATTATAAAGTGTTTCTAGAAGCTATTGACTCATGGTGTGTATTTAGTTTTTTTCTACACTGTATTTTTGTTTCTTTGTTGTTAAATAAATAATAACACAGTGCCATATGTTTGAGTTCAAGATGTCACAAGTCCAGGTTACTTTCTATATGATGTCCTCATATGTAAAATCTTAGAATTCATAGTGTATACTTTGGTTTGATGACTGCACATGTCAAAGAATATTATTAGCTAATTGGCTCTTGGGAGAAACAAAAACATGTTTTGGAACTTTAAATTGTTTTATTCTCACTGGTTTGAAACTTCAAATCCAAAATCTACAAAAAGAACAGTTTCCAGTAATGAAGGCTGTTTCTATTTACAGTGCAGGGCACTGCCTTGTTCTGTTTCCTTTATAGCTACCCCACACTCAAAGTCTGGGCACAAAGAAGGCCCCATGTCCCCATATATGTGGCTGACAACAGTGTTTTGGTTAGTAATGAAGTGGAGCTGAATGTTCCCCATAAATTACAGAGGAAATAAATGAGATCCAATGTCATTCACATCTGGTTATCTCTGCTGTGATGGGTATCTGAAGGAAAGCCAACATTAAAGTCCTTCCCTTTGGTGTTTGGCAAAATGTAAGTCAGTGCCTCTGTCATTTGTTTAAGAGGAATTACAACAAACATATTCAAACATATTGAAAACATATGATTACCATAATGAAGTCAAACTCTTACAGTCTCACTGCATCATTGTTGATTACAAAGATGTCATTTTGAATCATATCATTACTGATGCTGTGAAAATAAGTCTGGTTATAATATAATCAGAGTCCTTTTTTCTCTTTAATATATGTTTCTGTGTTGTTTTGTGTTATTGTTATTGTCTCCCTGCAGCTGTCAGACTGTACAATCAGAACTGCTCCCAACAAACATAGATGTTTACATCAATGCTGTAACTGCAATAAGTTAGTTAATTAACCAATTCGCACTACAACCTGGTTTGCCTCTTACCTGTAATTATTTTTATTTAATTTAATAACTGTACAGTACTCTCTGTATATAGTAACCATTGTCCTTAATGTAAATATGTAAGAAAAATTGTGTATGTTTCTGTTCCGTGTCCTGTGTACTGTTTGTTTGTATATTTGTCTTTTTGGCTGCTGTTACAACCAAATTTCCCCTTTGTGGGACAATTAAAGGATTATTCTATTCTATTCTAAAATGTTGTTTTGATTGCAGATCACATGATCCTCAACACTGTGGACTGCACCAGACCAAACGGAGGCACCTACCATAAAATACGGACATGATGATGACCGACTTTGCTGGAGGAGCTTCTGGATTCCCCGTGACCTTCTATGGAGGGAAATACAGCGGTGAGCCTGAGGTTACCTTAGTTTGCTTCTAGCTCCACCTGCACACAGCAGTGTCTAAGTTAGAGTCTTTGGACAGTTACATGTAGCTCTTTTAGCCATGTAGGAACTGACTTGTTTAACTGATATGTTTTGGTCAACAGTGTCAAAGTGCACCAATGGTCAATCACAATCCGATGGTCAATCACAGCAGAACAGAATCCCAGCAGTCATTGGGATGAACTACTTCCGGCGCCCCCATGTGCGGCAGCCTGTTACAGCAGCTCTGCTCATTCTGAGTTTCTTTCTTTCTCATCTTTTTCCTTCTCGTAATTTTCATAACTAACGTATTAGTAATTAGACTCTTTAACCATGTTCTACCGTTTTGTGCTAGTTCTGGTCATTTTTCTTAGTTTTTTCTACTTTATTCACCTGTGTCTGGTGATCCAGAGCAGGGATCCTTTGTTTACAGTAGGGATCAGCTGTTAGCACTGCGTCCCGCAGCGGTACTGCCGGCAGACAGACTCGACATTCCCAGCGAGCTGAGGAGGAAAAGACGGGGGTGTCGTGCTGGGAAGGATCCCCGTCGCCCGAGAAGGAGACATTATAAACCATCTCTACCTTTTGTAATCATTGGAAACATAAGATCTTTGCCCAATAAGATGGATGAGCTCACGTCGCTAACCTGGTCACAGAGGGAGTACCGGCAATGTAGCATCATGTTGCTAATGCTAATGGAGTAGAGGCTAACACCCCTAACTCCGGACACAAGCGTGACACTACCGGGATTCCAGATGCTGCGAGCGGACAGGACGAGAGACAGCGGTAAGACGAAAGGAGGGGGACTGGCAGTGTTTGTGGATGACAGATGGTGTAACCCCGGGCACATCACTGTGAAAGAACAACTCTGCAGCAGAGACATTGAGCTGTTAGCCGTTAGCATGCGTACGTACTACCTGCCCTGGGATTTCTTGCATGTTATCGCGATAACAGCGTATGTCGCCCCCTCAGCCAACGCGGATGCAGCCTGTGACTCTCTCCACTCTGTGGTCAGCAGACTGCAAACACAATCTCTGAGAGCCCTTCTCGTAATATCAGGGGACTTTAATCATGTCTCACTGGACTCCACACTGCCCACCTTCACCCAGTATGTGATATGCCCAACCAGAGACAATAAAACACTGGACTTACTGTACGCCAATGCTGAAGAGGCATACAGTTCATCACCTCTCCCTCCCCTGGGCAGATCTGACCACAACCTGGTGCACTTTGTCCCTGTGTATGAGCCCTTAGTGCGCAGGGAGCCACCTGCACAGTACAGAGATGGTCGGAGGAGAGCGAGGAGGTTCTTAAGGATTGTTTTGAGTCGACTGTGTGGGAGGTGATCTGTGATGACCACGGAGAGGACGTCGACAGCCTTACTACATGCATTGGTGACTATATTAATTTCTGTGTGGATAACACCGTACCTACCAGGACTGTACGGTGTTTCTCCAACAACAAATCTTGGATTACCCCAGAAATTAAAGCTGTTCTCAAGAAGAAGAGGAGGGCCTTCAAATCCAATACAAAGAGGAGTTGAAAAGGGTGCAGCGTGAGCTGAGGGGACTGATAAGGAATAGGAAGGACAGCTACAGGCAGAAGATGGAGAACCAGCTTCAGCAAAACAACGTTGTTGAAGTCTGGAGAGGCCTCAGAACCATCTCGGGCCACAAATATCAGAACTCTCTGCCTGGGAGGGATGTGAGGTGGGCAAACGAACTGAATCATTTCTTCAACAGATTTGATTAATCCATGAGGCAGTCTCCAACATTGGCTGCAGAATCACCCACACCCACTGCTGCTGTTCCAGTTCATGTCATGTCTAGTCTCCATGTTTCCTGTTTTACTTTGAAAGTCTGTGTCTAATGTCAGTATATGTAGTTTCACTCTCCCTGTCCAGTCATTAGGATCATGTGTATCAGCTGTTCCCCCTCATGTGTTTCCACTTCCCTTGATCGTCCCTTATGTGTATTTAGTCTCTGTGTTTCATTCAGTCTGTGTCGCGTCGTCTGTGTTCCCACACTCCATGTCCTCACGGCCAGTCTTTACAGTCATCGTCATTGTCCTCTGAGTCTTCTTAGTTTATCAGTATCTGTTTCCCAGTTTAGTTTAAGTTCAGTTTAGTCACGGTGTTTCTGCTTTGTTTGAGACCTGTCATCAGCCATAATAAAGGCTCGCTTTCAGTTAAGTTTACTCTGGTCTACTCTCTTGTGTTCGCACCTGGGTCCACCACACACACCACCGCACGGTCTGTCTCCTCAGATCGTGACACTGGTGCCAGCTGAATTACCTCCAGATCAACACCAGTAAAACCAAGGAGCTGGTGGTAGACTTCCGCAGGCACAAACATCCTCCACTGCAACCACTGAACATCCAAGGTATGGACATTGAGGCTGTGGACAGCTACAGGTACCTTGGTGTTCATCTGAACAACAAACTGGACTGGACTCATAGCTGAGACGCCCTCTACAGGAAAGGGCAGAGCAGGCTGCACCTGCTGCAGAGACTCAGGTCATTTAGAGTGGAGGGCCCACTCTTGAAGACCTTCTATGACTCTGTGGTGGCCTCAGCCATGTTTTAAGGTGTGGTCTGCTGGGGCGGCAGCATCTCTGCTGGGGACAGGAAGAGACTGAACAGGCTGATCCGCAGGGCCAGCTCTGTTCTAAGATGCCCTCTGGACCCAGTGGAGGTGGTGAGTGACAGGAGAATGGTGACTAAGCTGTCATCCCTGTTGGACAACATCTCCCACCCCATGCAGGAGACTCTGACAGCACTGAGCAGCTCCTTCAGTGGCTGCAGCACCCACGGTGTGGGACGGAGAGATTTCGCAGGTCTTTCCCCCCCACTGCTGTCAGACTCCACAACAAAAACTTTAACTGATCAAACACACACACCCATACATGTGCAATAACACTAAGTGCAATAGTCCTTTCTGGCATAGTTGTATTTTAACTCAGTTGTATACAGCATTTGTATTCTATTTTTATCCTATTGTATATTTTATTCTATTTTATTCTACTGTATATACTATTTTATGTTATTCTATTCTGTACAGTTGTGTACTATATTTATTCTTATTGTATTCTAATTTTTGCATCAGAACTTTTGCACTGTCCACTTCCTGCTCTGACAAAACAATTTTCCCACTTGTGGGACTAATAAAGGTTATCTTATCTTATCTTATCTTATTGGCCTGAAAAAGGCCAAGATAAAGGGATGGCTAAGATAAAGATTAGCCATCAGAAACCCGCGGAGCAGACAGACGTGTGAAGACAGATCTTCCTTAATGAACTTGTTCATGATTTTCATTTTTCTTGTCCAGTGAGTCAAGCTGAGAGCAATGTGGTTATTCCTAATGAAAATGACAGTGAACAACATTTTTTTAATATACATAATTTGATTTTAGCATTATTCTAGTTAACCTTGTTAGCCATAAAATCCTGTAGAGTAATCTATAAAGTTCTATAAAATTCAAAGGAACTTAGATGTTTTCAGTCTGAGCTTTCCTGTTTGATGAACATACCTGAACTTTGGTTACTTTTTTTGTACTTTGTTTTACCTGATTAATACAGTTAGTGGCTTCCAGTGTTTTAAAACACTAAATTTTTTGTTAAACCTGAACAGGAATGTTCCTTGTCTTTATTTTTATGTTTTTAATTTCCCCTATTGAAATTAGAAATAGAGATGTAGTCCACATCCAGTCATCCACACACACATTCACACACTGGTGATGGCAAGCTACATTGTAGCCACAGCCACCCTGGGGCGCACTGACAGAGGCGGGACTGCCGGACACTGGCGCCACCGGGCTCTCTGACCACCACCAGTAGGCAACGGTTTTTATCTTTGGCTCTGTTTTTATCTTCTGTGCCCAAAAGTGACTCCCCGTATTTAAACTGCTATGAATAACTTGTTGGTTTATAATAAGAGAAACATGTGTCAAATGTATCCATCATGAAAGATATCAGGTCATCTTGAGCCACAAAAACATTCCTATCATAAGGTAGAAGCTGGAATCAGTTTGTTGCAGAGGGACATTTATATATCCGATATTTATCCAGTTAAAGTCACATTGAAATTCAAAAATGTCTTTTCAAGAGTCGTCTGTCCAAGAGGAGCAGAAACTGCAACAAATATAACAACAGTTATTTAAGGCTGTTTTAAATGGCCACAAAGGAGCAGATTGGTTATAATGCAGCTGCTTCAAAGGAATAAAGATGAAAAACTGTTTTTATTTCATGTATAACACCTTTCAATAATGTGTTGACTAAAGTCTATTGACCAGTATAAGTAAAGACATCACACACACACAAACACATGGAAACATTGGAAATGTGTTTTTGGTGCAACAGCGGTCCCAGCTTCTCGCCTTTATCTAGACTGGGTCGGCTGCTTATCTCAATATAATCAATGTTTAAAGTTTTGTTCTCAGTGTTTCTGTGTTGCTTCGTATAGGATCTACCAGCATCATCACTGTGCTGTCCAATCATTGTGTGCTAGGTTACCCTTATAGTGCAATGTGTGTTTGCACAAAGAGAAGCATGTGTGTCAAATATAAATAAGC